ATTTTTTTTTTTTTGAGAGAAACAGAGAGTGAGTGGGGGAGGGGAAGAGAGAGAAACAGAGAGTGAGTGGGGGAGGGGAAGAGAGAAAGAGGGAGACACAGAATCTGAAGCAGGCTCCAGGCTCTGAGCTGTCTGCACAGAGCCTGACATGGGGCTCGAACCCACAAGCTGGGAGACCATGACCTGAGTAGAAGTCAGAAGCCCAACTGACTGAGCCACCCAGGTGCCCCCCAAGAAACAGACTCTTAGCTATAGAGAACAAAATGTTGGTTACCAGAATCGTTGGTTGGGGGGATGAGTTACATAGGTAATGGGGATTAAGGAATATATTGTGATGAGCACTGGGTGCTGTATGGAAGTGCTGAATCACTACACTGTACACCTGAAACTAATACACTGTATGTTAACTAACTAGAATTCAAATAAAAACTTAAAAATAAGAAATACTGCTTTGAAGGGAAGAAGAGAAATGGGGTAATAATTGGAAGGGGATGAAAACATCAAAGGCACTTTTTTTGAGACTGAAGATATTAGAGCATTTTTGTATGCTGATGGGATGGGTCTAGTAGAGAGGGAGAAATTAATAATGACAGAGGGGTGCCTGAGTGGCTCAGGTGGTTAGGTGTCTGACTCTTGATTTCAGCTCAGGTCATGATACGACTTGTGGATTTGAGCCCCAAGTCAGGCTCTGCACTGACAGTGTGGAGCCTGTTTGAGATTTTCTCTCTCTCCCTTTCTCTACTCCTCCCCTACTTGCATGCATGTTCTGTCTCTTACTCTCAAAATAAGTTAATTAAAAGAAACCTTTAAAAAAATGCCAGAGAGGGGCGCCTGGGTAACTCAGTCGGTTAAGTGTCCAACTTCAGCTCAGGTCATGATCTCATGGCTTGTGAGTTCAAGCCTCGTGTCGGACTCTGTGCTGACAGCTCAGAGCCTGGAGCCTGCTTCGGATTCTGTGTCTTCGTCTCTCTTTGCCCTTCCCCCACTCAGACTCTGTCTTTCTTTCTCAAAAATAAATAAACATTAAAAAAAATAAAAAACAAATAATGCCACAGGGAGGAGATAATTGCAGGAGCAGAATTCTTGAGAAAAGGAGATGGCATAGAACCCAGAACAAATATCTAAGACTTGCCCTTTTATGGGAGCAGAGATATTTCATAGATTTAAAAAAAAATTTTTTAATCTTGCGGTTCAAACTCATGAACCTCAAGATCATGACCTGAGCCAAAGTCAGACGCTTAACCAACTGAGACATCCAGGCACCCCGAGATATTTCATAGATTTTAACAGAATATAAAGTAAAGTATATATGTACAGATATGGGGAGATGAGAAAACTTCATGTCTGTTTCTATTTTCTCTGGTTCAGGGACTGAAAGTAGTGAGTCCATTCCTTTAAATTCCTACAAACCCTACTTAGGTCTTCCCAGGTGAGCAGGCCGTGTGAACACTAAGGAACCCTCAGAGTAGTTAGGGGAGGCATGAATGCACCACACTCTGGTGTCTGACCCGATAAGGTTTTCCTTAGTGCAGTGGTTCTCAAATTGTGATCTCTGGATCAGAAGCAACAGCATTCTTTTTTCTTTTTATTAAAAAAAAATTTTTTTAATAGAACTTATTGTCAAATTGGCTTACATACAACACCCAGTGCTCACCCCAACAAGTGCTCTCCTCAATTCCCATCACCCACTTTCCCCTCTCCCCAACACCCCATCAACTCTCAGTTTGTTCTCTGTATTTAAGAGTCTCTTCTGGTTTGCCTCCCTCCCTCTTTATTTTTTAAAATTTAAATCCAAGTTATTTAACATATAGTGTAATAATGATTTCAGGAATGTAATTTATTGACTCATCACTTACATATAACACCCAGTGCTCATCCCAACAAGTATCCTCCTTAATGCCCCTTGCCCATTTAGCCCATCCTCCCACCCAACACCCTACCAGCAACCCTCAGTTGTAGCAACAGCATTCTTTAAAAAAAATTTGTTAGAAATTCAAATTATCAGGCCCTATTCCAAACTACTGAATCAAAAACTCTGAGGACAGGGCCCAGAAACCTTTTTAAATAAGTACTCTTGGTGATTTTGAGAAGTTTGAGAATCACTGTCTTTGCAGGATGCTGAGAGTTTCTTGGAAGATTGTCATAGCAATTTCTTAGGTATAAAGCTGTCAGAAGCAAGAGCTTTTCATAATGAACCTAAGTATATGACAAGTGCTTTAAAAACACTGGAGACCAGCTGTGTTTACTTCCTCTCACCTACCTTTGTCTCAAAGGCAAAGCCCAAGTCCACAACACAATCCCATGAGTATGCCAGAAATTAATCTATGAGATTCAGGCCTCAGATAAAACCAACTCACTGAAGAAGGCTGAGTTTAAATTAAAAAAACATGCACTTTGGAGAAAAAAGTAAATAACAAGATAGAATTGAGGGAGATGTTGCAGAAGGATGTTTGATTTGGAATCAAACAGATTGCGGTTCCATAGGTAGAACTATCACTTACTAGTATGTGACCTTGAATAAAATACTTAACTTTTCTGAGTTCAGTTTTCCCATCTAAAAACATGAAGATGCCAAAACCTTACCTTGGAAGGGAGTCCATGACTGCAATCCTTTCTGAGTAAAGAGTCTAGAAGTAGTCCCAAGTTGCCATGCATTGTATCACGTGACCTTGGTCACAACAGGTTGGACTAGTAGCTTTGGAATAATAATGCAATATTTCTACACTTCAGAAAGTGTAACTATGTCATGGCAGAGACAGTCTCCTATAATTTTATTCTGTATGGAGAAGTAACCAGAATGGTCTCTGTTTCTTTGCAATAAACACATGATTACCTTATAGGGTTGTTATGAGAATTACATGAAAAAAATGTGAGTATAATCTTCAGCAGATAATGGCATATAACACTCAATAATGTAGCCATTCATTGGTAATGAGTGCTTCAAAGCCGTTAATGCCACAGCCGTTAATGCCACAGATAAAAAAGCCTCAGTACCCAAAACCAAAAACTCATACTTACCAGCCCCAAAGTAACCAAGTATAGTTACAGAGTCATTAAGCCTCATACTCTGAGGCTTTTAGCCCTGAGGATATGAAATGTATGTTTTAGGGGCTTCAGCCCAGAAGAGCACACTAAACTCCTAACCTGCAGTTTTCTCTTATATTATTTTGTATGAGTGCCCAAGTTTGTTGTTGCTTTCTGGCATGGAGGAAGTATGGAGGAGTTGTATCAGAACTTGCAGAGTATGCTACACAGAGAGCTTTTCCAGTATAACTAAAAAGTGGGGCCATGCTTGGATTCAGGGTATGGAAGATTCTGAAAATAGGGAGAGTTGTGAGTATTAGCACTGCAAAACTGGCCTTGGAGCAGCGGACTCATACAGAGAAATGATGACCAAAAAAGATGGCCTTGAATAGAAAAATCTAGAACAGAGAGGTCATTCAGGAGGCCACAGGTCTAATTTAATCTAAACATTTCCAAGGCCCTCAACAAGACCATTGGTGATGGGAAATAAAAGGTGTGAATGGACACTGAATTGCATTTTGAAGGTCAAGGCATCAAATGAAGTTGGTGACTGAATGTTGGGAAAGAAAGAAGAATGAGTGCTTGACATTAAGTTTGGTAGAGTGAGGAATGGTGGTGCCAATGCCAGAGTCAGGGGACCCTTTTTTGGTAGAAGGCCTGAGTTCATTTTTGGATTTCTCAAGCTTGAGGTAATCAGGGGATTTTTCAGTGGAAATGGTCACAAGCAGCGCTAATATGGGACTGGAACTCAGATAAGTGGAAAGAAGATAAGGCTGAGATCAACATAGAGGTAAGCTCTGAAGATATGACATTAAAAAAAAAAAAAGTTCTCAAGGGAGTATAGTGGAAGAAGAATAGAAGTCCAAGGCCCAAGTCTTAGAAACTGCCCTATGTCTAGAGGTCCATCTAGTAGTGATAAAGAAGAGCAAACTCAGGAAAAGCAAGAAAAGTGAGGTTGATAAGTATTTGCAGAGCCAGGCTAGTGCCATGCAGTAGAAGCCAAGGGAAGAGGTCTTCCCTCAGCAAAGACTTCTATGTGGTAACATCTGGAACAGATGTCAATAGCAAAGCACAATGCTGTGGAAGCAACACAAGTGAGTTCAGAATATTCTGGATAGCCTGTGTAAAGCCTGTATCTTCCACAGCTAGGCTAAAGTTCATTTAGCAAGACCTATGTAATGACTGATGGCAAGTGTTCACTAACACTGTTGCCACGGGGAAAACTGGTAGGACAGACATAGTACTTCTCTGAGATAGGGGAACTTACCTAGCTCATCCCAGAGCTGCCTGCACTTATCTGTCATGCTTGTTCCTTGCTGCCTCCAGAGTGTGAGTCGTGGGTCAGCCATAAACTGCTCAGTTATCAGCGTCAGCATCCTGGCTCCATTGGAATCTCTCATCCGCAGCATCTCTCGAACCTGACACATAAGGAGGGGCCAGGGGTTGGTGACTGCACATCATGAAAAAGCAGGAGAAGGAAGGGGAGGAGAAGATGAAGTATCTAAGCACAACATATCCAAAGAGCCAAAAAGAAGCCTTCTTGTTCTACAAGCAAGTTCTCTGCATATATCAAGAAAGCCTGCTGTACACAATGAGATACCACTTCATATCCACTAGGATGGCTAGAATCAAAAAATCAGATAACAACAAGTATTGGTGATAATATAGAGAAATCAGATCCCTGACACACCATTGGTGGGAATGTAAAATGGTGCAGCCACTTTAGAAATCAGTCTAGCAGTTCCTCAAATGATTAACGTAGAGTTATATGACCTATCAATTTCAATCCTAAAGAGAAATGAAAACACATGTTCACAAAGAAACTTGTATAAGAATGTTTATAAAAGTATTATTTGTAATAGCCAAAAGATGGAAATAATACAAATATCCACTAACAGAGAATGCATAAACCAAAGTGGCATATCCATACATTAGGATATTATTCAACTAAGAAAGGAATTAAGTACACAGATACATGTTACAACATGGATGACCTTTGAAAATACTATGCTAGGTGAAAGAGGCCAAGCACAAAAGACTACATACTATATGATTCCTTGCCTATGAAAGTCCAGAATAGGGAAATATATAGAGACAGAAAGTAGATTAGTGGTTGTTTAGAGCTGGGAGAGGAGGAATGGAGGATAGGGAAGTGACAGGTAAAGGGTATGGGATTTCTTTCTAGGGTAATGAAAAAGTTCTAAAGTTGACTGTGGTGATGGCTGCACATATCTGCGAATATATTAAAAACCACTGAATTGCACACTTTAAGTGGGTAACTTTTACAGTATGTGAATTATCTTTTACTGAAGGTGTTAAAAAAAAAAAAAAAAAAGAAAGACCACCGTGAGAGCCCCCAGTTCCAAAAGACTAAATCTCTTCAAGGCCTCATCCAGCAGCCTTGGGTTCAAGGCAGAGGGATGATGGCTTCCTTACTAAAACCCACAACAATGCTAACTTATTTAGAGTGGAGCAGAAGGAAGAGGACTACCAGGGTGAGTTGGTAGGGGTCTCTGGATGCCACCTGCTCGGGATCAGGTCTGCTCTGTTCAGCATCTCCCATTAGTTTTCAAGCTTTCAGGACAGATAGGTCAAGTGAGCTAGTTAAAATGCATGAAGCCAGAAGTGTGGTGAGGCCCGTTTAATTAAAGTAAAAAAACAAAACAAAACAAAACAAAAAACCCAATACCTTTCATATCTTACCTTAGCAAACATTGAATTGAGTTGCTTTCCAGAGCCATAGTAACCACCCTGGGAGAGAAAGAGTTTCACTTGTTCTTTCACCTGTTCTTCATCCAAATGCCAACAGTTCTCATCATCAATGCTGGCCCCAGCTGTGGGGTCAGGGGCACCTGTGAGGAATGGGAATGGTGACATGAATCCCCTGAATTCATATGCTACATATTTGGCAGAAGGGGTACTCTTTGAGGATATTAAAAAACAGACAGCTTACTCTGCCTTATTCTGGGCTTTGTCAACTGTGTGGTCCTATAAATAAATGTAAGAGGGCTAATGCTAGTTTCACACTCACTTATGTTCCAGTTGCATTCCCTTACAAGGTCTACAAATACCATTCTAGGGGGAAAAATCCCAGAAGGAAATGCACAAACATGAAAAAAATGATATATTTTTTCCCTAGGAAGGTGACATTTCTTTCTTCTTCTTCTTTTTGCCTTCCTATGAAGTTCAAAATAAGCCTTAAAGTATAGATATTATTGTAAAATAAAAAATACTTCCTTAGAAAACAAAAAAAAAATTGTTTTTAAAGTTCACTATAAAATTTAGCTTCTTAAGCAGAGTCAACACTTCTGAATTTCTAGAAACTTGCCCCTTAAAGCACAGGCAGAGGTGCATACAAGGTGATATGTTTTATAAATTTATACTTAAAATATCTTTCATATCTGGTTCTTACTACAACACATTAAAACAGTTTTAGTTATTTACACATTCTTCTCCCCTAGTGCCCTGCTAGCCACTTGCTCACAGTTGAATCCCAAGTTGAATCCACAGCTGAACTGCCTATACCACAGCACTGGTAATGCGGCAGGCACCTAGTAAATATTTGTGGAATGAAAACGGAATCTTCTCTCACTTTCTCAAAGCCAGAGTCTTACGTTAAGTTTTTAGCAACCTGCCTCCAAGTTACAAAAGACTATTAATCAAATGCTCTATAGGTGTGGTCATGTAATAGAATATAAATTCACGTCATGTTTGGGGCACCTGGGTGGCTCAGTCTGATTCTTGATCTTGGCTCGGGTCATGATCTCGTGGTTCCTGAGATCAAGCCTTGTGCAGGGCTCTGTGCTGACAGCGTGGAGTCTGTTTGGGATTCTCTCTCCCTCTCACTCTGCCTCTCTCTCTCTCTCTCAAAATAAATACATAAAACATTAAATAAATTCATGTCATGTTTAATTAGTCTACCTTTCCTCTTGTCTTCCTAGTTCAAAGTCCTGCTCAAATGAAATCCAGGTCTACACAGAAAAGTTGCTTTTCAGCTAAGCTTTTTTAGAGCATGTTATTCTCCATGAAATCAGGAGGGTTCACACGTTCATTTATTCTACAAGTACTAATTAACACATATGATTGTCCAGTTTATGGTATCTACTATATGCTACTTTCTTCAAATGTATTATACTAAACACAGTTCTGATTATATCACTTGCCCACTCAGAGAAGTCTTCAGTGATGCACCATTTTTATTAAATTAAGTCCAAATGCTTTAGATTGGCATTCAAGGCTCTCTCTGCTCAGGCCTTATCTTTCATTTCTAGCCTTGTCTACCCTATATTTATGTTATGGTTCAGCTAGAAACTTAGCATTCCCAGAAGTCAACCACATTTCCTTATGACTTTACTTCTGCTTTTTCCTTTACTTCTCTCCCACTCCTGTACCCCATTCTTTAGCCAAAAAAATGAAACTTCTCATTGTCAATATTGCCTCAGTCAGGGCTACAATGAGCAGTGGAAACCATAAAGTAAGTATACAGAAAGGCCAACACTGCTTAGCTCATCTGGCAAGAGAAGCTCTTTTTTATCCCCTAACTGAATTAACCATACAACCCACTGCTCCCTCCCTCTCAAAAGTATGTCCATCTTATGCTCACATGGATATAAAAGGAGTAATACTCTTCTTAGCACTTTATTATTGCTTTTCCTAAAGACTTGTGGCATTTTGCTGTACATCAGAATTGTGCATTTCTCATATATTCCCAAATAAATTGAAATTTTTTAAGAGTAGGTGTTCATTTTTGTACCTTATAGTGCCTGGCTCATTATAGCACTGAGTTAATATTTATAGAATAAACAAATGCATGTCTCATTGGCCATCTAGATTTAAGCTCCAGGTGGGTAAATAATATATCCTACACTTCTTTTGTATCCCTAAAGTGGCAAAGCAAAACAAACATACTCCTTATCCTTAAATACTTGTTAATAAGAGCCATTTTTTTTTTAGTGCTTCCTACATGCCAAAGTCAAGCACTTTTTGTACATATCCTCACTAGAACATACTCTCCTTGAGGGCATAAACTGTTTTGTTTGTGTGCATATTTGCAACATGTAGAACAGTACCTGGCACACAGTAGGTGCTCAGTGATTATCTGGTGAGTAAATTCCAATGAACCCTCATAACAAGTCTAGAAGGTAGTATTATTATCCTAATTTTAAAATGAAAAAACTAAAGCTTATACAGGTAAGTAATGTAACAGGTGGGAAGTATATTAGCTAGGATTTGTATGTTGGTTTCTCTTCAAAGTCTGTTGTTCACTATAACACTGAACTTTGGCCTCCAGCCTCATCTAGAGGCTGTGACCCACTAGCTGGTTTCAGGACCTTGAATGGAAAGCTGGATGGTGTGTCTAAAGATAGTCAAATCTTTCTTGGCCTATTTCACTATACAGAATGTAGGACTAGTCAGAATAATGCATTTTCCCCATAGTGAGGATAAAAGAGTTCTCACCAATACACTGATTCTCAAATGTTAATACACAGAATAATCACCTGGGTTTGTGTTCAAAATGCAGATTATAGAGTCTCACCTCCAATGATTCTAGTTTTCAGTAGCTCTATACAGACAGAACTGAGATAAAATGAGATACACTTTGTATAAACCAAAGACTGGGCATCTGAGTACCTTGTTGCCAAGAACAGGGATGAGGGAAGAACAGAAACAGTGCTCCAAAAAACAAGCATAGATGGTTTGAATACCAATTCTGACCCTTGGGTGGTTCAATTAGGATATGAAAAAGTAGGAGCAGAACCTAGTCTCCCAAAGGAGATGGTCTTAACTGGTTGGAAGTGTGGAGTGACATCCCCTCTAAAAATTCAAAGAGGTATAGAGAAAACTGGAGAATCTTCTGGGCCCAGGTGGTAGTAGTGGCAGCAGCAGTTCTGGAAGAAATAAGGCAAAGCTTATAAATACGTACTGTACAGAGAGGCTTCTGGGAAGATGGTGGCGTAGGAGGACGCTGGGCTCACCGCGTCCTGCTGATCACTTAGATTCCACCCACACCTGCCTAAATAACCCAGAAAACCACCAGAACACTAGCAGAATGGATTCTCCAGAGCCAAGCGTAGATGAGAGGCCCACGGAAGACGGCAGGAAGGGCGGAGAGGCAATGCGCGCTACACGGAT